ATTAAAATTTTTACTAGAAAATTCCAGAATGTTACAGTGTTCTACTTTTATGGAGATGATGGGGGTTTATGAGGAACACTGCAATACCTTATGCATGTATAACAAGCCCTACGCTTCATTCTCTGATACCTACAACCCAAGGTGGGGGAATCACCCCAATTTTAGCTGAAAATCTGAAAACCAATAACCTGCCCAAATGAATAGAGCTTATACTACACATTCCTATCAACCCACATCTTTTAGGACCTCTTTAGAAGATAACATATATGCGTTTATAGAGGTACAAAGTAAAACCAATAAAAAATTTGAGATTATGATTACTCAAATTGTTGAGGAAAACAAGGAGAAAAAAAAATCATATGTCTAAATTAACAAATGCTTTAGTTGTAACGGAACGTGGGAAATTTCCAAGGGCAGCACATGGCATAAACCTCAGGATCAAAAGAAAACAACATTAGGAAAGTGAATGTCATAACCACTCGATCAAGGAAAGTCATAGAACCAATCTCTAAACCTAGGGAAAATGAAGAGGAGTCGAGTAAGTCTGAAGAGAGTAGACCAAGTGAAAAGGTAGTAGAGAATTCATCGAGAGTGCCTTTCCCTCAAGCTCTTAAGCCTACCCCAAAATTCGCTGGACAATATAGTGAAATCTTAGAACACCTTAAGCAAGTGAAAATCAATCTCCCTTTCTTGCATGTCATTTCAAAGGTTCCTACATATATTAGTCCTTAAAGACTTATACACTATGAAAAGGAAACACAATGTCAAGAAAACCACTTTTTTGACCGATCAAGTGAGTGTTGTGATTGAGCAAAGGATCCCACCGTAATATAGGGACCCTGGTTGTCCTACTGTGTCTTGCATCATTGGGAACCATAAGTTTGCACAAACTCTTCTTGATTTAGGGGCTAGTAGTAACCTCATGCTTTATGATATTTACCTGTTGTTAGGTTTAGGTGAGATAAAATCGACTTATGTGGTTTTACAACTAGTTGATCAGTCCATTATATGACCTAGGAAAGTAGCTGAGGATGTATTGGTTCAAATTGATAAATCCTACTACCCCGTTGATTTCTTGGTTTTGGACTTGAAAGTTGATGTAAATGTTGATTCTAAAATTCCTATTATTCTTGGTAGACCTTTTCTTGCCACAGTTAATGCTCTTACCAACTGCAGGAACTGTCTAATGAAGCTATCATTTGGGAATAT